TATGGACGCCCGGATGAAACGCTATAAAAACGGTATATACAAATTAAATTAAAATTTTCAGAAGGATGCTACGATCATAGTAAACTGAATTTTCTTGTATATTGTTACTTCAACTGTATACCCGGTAGAGGCGCGAGACCCAGTCTCTGTATATTTTACAAGATATATTCCACTTTTAGCTAGTCAATTTCCAGGCGTCCTTTGCGCCCTTGTTACGTGGCTCTGTCAATATTAACTTTTCCAGACTGGCGCGAAATTGTGGGGTAACGGGTCCGCACCGCCTAGCTGATTTGTTTTTCATATTGAATGAAATCGATTTACCACAAATTAAGAAGTATGCTAAGTTGGAATTAACGTAAACGTAACGGAAATACACAAGACTTTTTTTTCTAATAAAAAATTAAATAATTAAGAAAAGTTTATTTTTGAAATGTGTGGTAAAGAATTCAAAATCTACAAAAATCATATTTACATCCTGCTGCCAATGCCGTACTCTTTATATGATGTTAGATGTTAATGATATTAGAATTTAAAACAATATTATTATTGTAGTTGCAATTATATATATATATATATATATATATATATATATATATATATATATATATATATATATATATATATATATATATATATATATATATATATATATATATATATATATATATATATATATATATGTGTGTGTTCGAAGTGTTTTCGGAGCGCGAGCATTGAAGATGCCAAGTGAGATTTTGGCGAAACGTCTGCAGGATTCCAGTCGGATGCAGGATTTGCAGGATTCCAGTCGGATGCAGGATTCCAGTCGGAGTTCAACGAGCGAACGGATGATATCCCGGAGTATAGTGTCATCATATATATATATATATATATATATATATATATATATATATATATATATATATATATATATATATATATATATATATATATATATATATATATACAGTGTGTCCAAGATAAGGATGCACAGCATGGGGATCTCGGAAACTATAAGAGATACAGTGTCGGTTAAATTAGACAAAAGTTGCGCATTTTGATACCGAACAAGATCCCGTTTTACAAATTTGAAAATTCCAAGCCGTTCCGGAAATATCCGAGAAAAACCGAAATATTGCGATTTCGTTTTTATTATTTTTTAAAGCTATTTGAAAAGATATGAAAAAACGGAAAACACTTTTCCATTGGCACTTTTTAATCTCTCCAAATTGACGTTAACAAATTTTCATTACAGCGTTTCGATTCCATGGAACCACCATCAACTTTGATTTTTCTTATGGGACGGAAAAAAAGTACACACAGTATTAGGTTGTGCTTTTCATTGCGAATTCAACGATGTACGATACAATACGGTTACTTATGTTTTTATCCAGAAAAATGGATTTTTAATACATTTCAGCATTTAAATGGAGTAGGCCATGACAAAATGACATCCAGTCAATTTCAATGACACATTAATGTTATTTGTCTTTGTTATCAGTCGATCATAAGTTTATTCCTTTAGTTATTGTTTTTGTATTTTTATTGTTGTTGTCTTTTTCTAATTTATTTTGTTCTACAATGGAGGGAGGTAATTTTACAAACGAAGAAAAATGTGATATGCTGTCTTGCTACATCTGATGCCAAAGAAATTGTGTGGAAGCCGAGCGTATGTATTCTAACAAATACCCAGAGCGGAGACAACCTGACAAGAGTATTTTTCGGCGTTTGTTATTTAATCTGAAAGAATATGGATCATTTAAGAAGCCTGCATTATCCCGACAAAAACCTTCCAATGAAGAAAACCAATACATTGTTCTACAATCTGTTATCGAAAATCCACAAACTTCTACCAGAGAAATTGAAGACCAGAATGGAGTAGCTAAATCTACAGCTCAGTTTATTTTAAGGAAAAATGAATTTAAGCCTTACAAATTCAGAATATGTCAAGGATTAAAACCGGGTGACGACGAACGACGTAGACATTTTTGTGAGTGGTATACCAGGATGCGTGATGAGAGTTTTAATTTTCCATATAAAGTGATTTGGTCTGATGAAAGTATGGTGACCAATAACGGTATTTATAACAGGCGCAATACACACTATTGGTCGCAACAAAATCCACGTGTTAATAGACTATCCAGACATCAAGTTCGCTTTGGGTTTAATATTTGGTGTGGGATTTTTGGTAGCAAGATTATAGGCCCTATTTTCTATAATAATTCCTTAACTTCCGAGCGGTACCTTGACATCTTGAGGCACGATTTAGAAGATGCCTTAGATGATTTACCGCTAGGCGCTGTGCAAGGCTGCTGGTTCCAACAAGATGGTGCCCCAGCCCATAACTCCAGAGAAGTTCGCCAATATTTAACTGAACGGTTTGATGGAAAATACATTGGGACTTACAGTGAAACACCTTGGCCTCCAAGGTCCCCGGACTTAACTCCCTTGGACTTTTTCTTATGGGGCTACATAAAAAATGAGGTATTCAAAGAATGTTTTGACAACGAGGAACAATTACGGCAATCAGTACGAGCAGCGTTTAATAAAATTACTCCTGAAATGTTAAGTCGTGTTTTGGAGTCTACCGTGAGACGGGCGTACTTATGCCTAGAAAATGGAGGTCATTTATTCGAACATTTGTTATAGAATTTGTTTTTCATTAACTTGTTGGATTTAGTTGTTATGTTAAATGAACAGTTAGAGTTAGTAAATAAATAAACACATTAACTCGAACTTGTCAACCATTTTCTTTTGCCTTTCATCGTTCGGATCTCATGGCCTACAATAAAATACTAGAAATGTATTAAAAAGCCATTTTTCTGGATAAAAACATAAGTAACCGTATTGTATCGTACATCGTTGAATTCGCAATGAAAAGCACAACCTAATACTGTGTGTACTTTTTTTCCGTCCCATAAGAAAAATCAAAGTTGATGGTGGTTCCATGGAATCGAAACGCTGTAATGAAAATTTGTTAACGTCAATTTGGAGAGATTAAAAAGTGCCAATGGAAAAGTGTTTTCCGTTTTTTCATATCTTTTCAAATAGCTTTAAAAAATAATAAAAACGAAATCGCAATATTTCGGTTTTTCTCGGATATTTCCGGAACGGCTTGGAATTTTCAAATTTGTAAAACGGGATCTTGTTCGGTATCAAAATGCGCAACTTTTGTCTAATTTAACCGACACTGTATCTCTTATAGTTTCCGAGATCCCCATGCTGTGCATCCTGCAGGATTTGCAGGATTCCAGTCGGATGCAGGATTCCAGTCGGAGTTCAACGAGCGAACGGATGATATCCCGGAGTATAGTGTCATCATATATATATATATATATATATATATATATATATATATATATATATATATATATATATATATATATATATATATATATATATATATATATATATATATATATATATACAATCTCCTTGTTTTGCTATTGTTGTTTGGGTACATATTTAGATTTATTACTTTCTTCTGATAATTTCTGCTAAATACTATTTAGAGCGGTGTTAGAAATATTACAAATATCGAATATAAATATTTATATTATAGAAATATTCAATATAAATTGTTGTCTAATCCAACAGAAAAAGAAGAAAGAAGAAATTAGTAAATTAAAACATCATTTGCTAAATACTTATCTAAATAATTGGGTAATAAAGTATTTTGATACTTTTTACAAAACTTCTGGATTCCTCCTGACACTAATTTATAAATTAACAGTTTTTCTTAATTTGATACAATAATTTATTGATCTGCGAATAAGTCAACCGTTAAGAACTTGCAAAACAATTTTATCAAATAATATTTAAGTATTAGTATTTATCTTCAATTATTAAGTTGTAAAGAAGCGGTTTAGATTATCATTTAAAAATTAGGGCACCCCTGAAATTAACACTTTTTATGCAGGTTTAGGTACAACCAGCGCCTGACTAATCTAGATACAAGTGTAATATTTCTGGCAAACATATTGCTTTAAAATCAATCACAGAATTACTTTCCGAAATCGGGCCACATATTAAAGAAAACATCTACACAAAGATATTAAATTTAGCAAAGAGCTTTAAAAACTAACAAATCTAACAAAAACAAATACAATACAATAAAATAATAAAACAGTTCGCAACAAAGTATTTTTCAAAATGTAGCGAAAATATGAATCGCCTTACACCCGTTCGACTGTGCACCGTCATGTTAAAAAGGAGAAGCATGTTCTGAAGACCAACGACCATACCTATTTATATGTACTTTGAAATGACGATTTCTAGTTTCGACAATTTCACAGTTTTTATATTTATTTATATTTAATATTGCTGGCAAACATATTGCTTTAAAATCGATCAAAGAATTACTTTCCGAAATCGTATTAAAGAAAACATCTACACAAAGATATTTTAAGTTAAGTTAAGTTATTTTATTTTAAGTTTAGCAAAAAGCTTCAAAAACTAACAAATCTGCCAAAAACAAAAATACCAAAAAAATAAAACAGTTCGCAACAAAGGATTTTTCAAAATGTAGCGGAAATATGAATCACCTTATCCGCTCGATTGTGCACCGTCATTTTAAAAAGGAGTTCTGAAGACAAAGGCTTCTTATTTATATGTACTTTACCTATTTATATGTACTTACTACACAATCAATCGGCAACGTTGCTCAGACGCTCAGAAATCTATCTGCCCAATAAATGAAAAATATACATAAGGACGCTAGGATGCTGGAATGTAAAAGTTTTCCGGTGTATATTGGATGCTACCAAGTCACCTCTATGAAAGGACGTCGACATATCATTATCATAAAACTTCAAAAAAATGATCTTCGTAAAATCTGGCCTAAGGAAACCCAACGCCATCTCGTTTACAAAACTTTAAAATATTCACTTGTTAAAGTAGGAATCTTGAAGAAAACGCTACTTGACGCTCAGAGACGGATCCATGAAAGAACGCTCGGAAGATAGCGGGATCTATGTGTAACTATTGATATCAATACTTCATAAGCTCTAGCAAATAATTACCTGCAATTTTTTTATGAGCGTCTGGACTAGCACTTTGTGTGACTGCTAACATCTTCATGTATTCAGTATGTGAGGTAAGACCAGCGGCCTCCAAGCTACCTGGTGACATCATGGCATATTCTTCGCTCAATAATTCAATGATTAATGCTTCAATGTCAAAGAACAAGATGTGGCTTTCAGGATCTAGACCCAATATAAAAATAATTACAATAATTTAGCAAATAAGTCCCACTGATAATAATAAATAAAAATTGTTGATGATTTGTAAATTTTGGTGTAGTTTGCCTAACTTTACTTTTTCCTTTATCAGTATGTGTTGGCCCAACTAAAGTAAAACTAGCAGACCATGATTAAATTGACTCAAAATTTTGAAAAGGCACTTCACGTTTGTTACCTTTTGGATTAGTGTGAAAACCTTGCACAACAAGGGGAGTTTGGCCGTGATTTCGTTGCATATGAGGATCATCATTATTAGCATGAGTGCCCAGTTGTTGCAATTGATGGAGTCCTCTCTGAGTTGCATGACGGATAGCAGAAAGGTTCCGGTGACGAAGGCCTCTAGAATAATAATAATTTGCAATATTGCCCAAAGTGTAACAAAAACAAACGCTGCAATTTTGTCAATGTCAAAATGTCAATTAGAAAGTTGTTCCGCACCAAAGTACATGCCGATTTTTCGTATGTCTTTGTTTATTTTGGGTATTGGGGGGAAAACTGAATGTTTCGGTAATTAAAAAATTAAACATATAGAGTGTTGTCCAGGCTGCAGCACCATCAAGCACTTGCATGCAGTACTGCCCATTGGCAGGAGACCGTTTTCAACCGCTGCTGGACAAAACCCCGTTTCTTCTTTTGCATGGTTTAAAAATCAGAGACAACGCCTTTCAGTAATTTTCAGAAATAGTGATATAGTCCACATTGCTTCAACATTGCATTGTTGAATGTGGTAGGCTCTTTGACACTTACTTGTGAAAATTATACAATAGCATTCAATGGTTTAGCGAAAAAATACCAAAATTGAAAACTTCTTGCTATTGAAATAATTTTTTTTCTAGGACTAATCTTAAAAATACTAGCATTAAAGAGCTTAATCATCTTCTAAGCACGTTTTCTGGAAATTTAGAAGCACTTAAAACCTTGAAATATCAAACTCAACAATGGGATTTCATTTTGTTTAATTTATTACTGGATAAGACAAAAATTCAAGGAATCGGTTCGAATTGGAACACACTAATGTTGACAGGCCTACTTATCAAAATCTTGTAAATTTTTTGGAAGCCCATCATTTCAAAAAAACAAAATTTAGCCATGCTAATAATTATAGTCAGAAAACGCAAGCAGTCTTCTTTTCGACTAACAAATATTCTTGTGTACTTTGTATACAATCTTGTAAGTTACCGAAATGTTCAATTTTTTTAGCAAAATTCTGAAAGGTACGTTTTGTTCTCAGTTGCCCGCTACTCCAATAGCGTGGATCAATTTGCAACATCAAAATAATCTTCAGCTAGCCGACAAAAGTTTTTGTAGGCCCAGTGGTTAGATCTGCTAATCGGAGCAGAAAATTTTCTTCTTATGGTCAAAGCCAGTTCTGTCTCATGTGGGTTTATTAATCCCATGTTCTTACTATCTTTGGTTTAATTATGATCGATAATGTGAGCGTGAATTCAATGAAAAAGAGGGCACAAATTGTCTCGTTATGTTCGAATTTCGATTCTCTCGATCAAAATACGAAAAGGCTGTGGGAAATAGAAAGTATTTCAAATGAAGTCATAGTGTCCCCCGAAAAATTTTGTGAAAACCTTTTTCGGGATTTGGAAATTTTGTGATTCTGAAGTCCAGAACTTCGTAGGTTTAATTCGTTAGAAAACAAATTGTATCGAGACGAAAATCTCTTGAAGCTGTTCAAGGATTTCATACAGAACTACCTGGAATCGGGTTACATGTCGCCAGTTCCTGCGATTCATAGTGAAAATGTTTTTATTCCTCGCCAACGTTTTTCGGGAGGAGAGCATATCTCGTAAGCTGAGAGTTGTTTTCGAAACCTCGATGAATTCGTCAAGTGGAATTTCTTTGAAAAGGACTGAAATTGCATTTCAACATAGTCACTGACCTTTTACGTGTATATAAATATGCTATGATTGCTAACATCCAGCAAATGTTTTCACAAATTTTTGTTTGTGTTCTGTGTACCTAATATTTGGCCAATGATACAATAAACGAATTAGCTCGAGACGAAAAGAAACAATTTCTAATTGCTCCGCAGATTCTTCGTTCTGGCATCTATGTGGACGATATTCTAACTGGTTGCGGAACGTTTGAGTAAAATCGAGTTTGAATTATCTTCTTGTTGTTGAGAGGACGTTTCCAATTGCATAAATGGGCAAGAAATTCATGTCAGGTTTTATTGGGATCTGCTGATAATCAGCAACCAGTTTCACTTACAAAGTTTCTATTCTTTTAAAAGGATGTACAAATAGGTCCGATTTGGCCAATATTCGATCTAATGGGTCATCTTCACTCACCGTATTTGCTAAAAGTCTGATTCTATGGTCTATGGATTTTAGTTTTAGAAGAATCAAAACCCTCAACCAGAAATCATACTGGAATGGATGACATTTCAATCAGAATTGGTGTCAGAAGGACCAATATGAGGTGCACGCGGTTGAGGCAGCCGACGATGTAGTTATTATTATTCAGATTGAGTATGGACAGTGGATTCAAGATTTATCTAATAGTTGAAAAATCAAAGGTTTCTCCTTTTAAAAAAATGTCATTGCCACATTTGGAGCTTTGTGTAGCTCCATTACTAGCAGATCTAGTTAACCTCGTTCGAAAATCTTATATAAACAAACTAATTATTGCAAAGTTTGTTGCTTGGTCAGACTCCAAGTTTAGATCAAATTGTCTCCTCACCATTGGCATATTTTCGTGTGTAATCGTGTGAGCCAAGCAAAAATTACACATGAGTTTTGGTGACATGTTCCGTCGGAACAGAGTCCTGCTAGTGCTAGTGTGCTAGTAGAGGACTCTTTCCCAATCAATTGCTCCACTATCTCATATTGTTTAATGGTGCAGTTTTTGATAAGGCCGTCTCAATACTGGCCACCCGATATTTCAGCTTCATTTGCGAGGAACAAAGAAGAGAAAAACATAGTATTCTTCACACACTTATACATATATATATATATATATATATATATATATATATATATATATATATATATATATATATATATATATATATATATATATATATATATATATATATATATATATATATATATATATATATATATATATATATATATATATATATATATATATATATATATATATATATATATATATATATATATATATATATATATATATATATATATATATATATATATATATATATATACATGTATATATATATATATATATATATATATATATATATATATATATATATATATATATATATATATATATATATATATATATATATATACAGTGTGTCCAAGATAAGGATGGACAGCATGGGGATCTCGGAAACTATAAGAGATACAGTGTCGGTTAAATTAGACAAAAGTTGCGCATTTTGATACTGAACAAGATCCCGTTTTACAAATTTGAAAATTCCAAGCCGTTCCGGAAATATCCGAGAAAAACCGAAATATTGCGATTTCGTTTTTATTATTTTTTAAAGCTATTTGAAAAGATATGAAAAAACGGAAAACACTTTTCCATTGGCACTTTTTAATCTCTCCAAATTGACGTTAACAAATTTTCATTACAGCGTTTCGATTCCATGGAACCACCATCAACTTTGATTTTTCTTATGGGACGGAAAAAAAGTACACACAGTATTAGGTTGTGCTTTTCATTGCGAATTCAACGATGTACGATACAATATGGTTACTTATGTTTTTATCCAGAAAAATGGATTTTTAATACATTTCAGCATTTAAATGGAGTAGGACATGACAAAATGACATCCAGTCAATTTCAATGACACATTAATGTTATTTGTCTTTGTTATCAGTCGATCATAAGTTTATTCCTTTAGTTATTGTTTTTGTATTTTTATTGTTGTTGTCTTTTTCTAATTTATTTTGTTCTACAATGGAGGGAGGTAATTTTACAAACGAAGAAAAATGTGATATGCTGTCTTGCTACATCTGATGCCAAAGAAATTGTGTGGAAGCCGAGCGTATGTATTCTAACAAATACCCAGAGCGGAGACAACCTGACAAGAGTATTTTTCGGCGTTTGTTATTTAATCTGAAAGAATATGGATCATTTAAGAAGCCTGCATTATCCCGACAAAAACCTTCCAATGAAGAAAACCAATACATTGTTCTACAATCTGTTATCGAAAATCCACAAACTTCTACCAGAGAAATTGAAGACCAGAATGGGGTAGCTAAATCTACAGCTCAGTTTATTTTACGGAAAAATGAATTTAAGCCTTACAAATTCAGAATATGTCAAGGATTAAAACCGGGTGACGACGAACGACGTAGACATTTTTGTGAGTGGTATACCAGGATGTGTGATGAGAGTTTTAATTTTCCATATAAAGTGATTTGGTCTGATGAAAGTATGGTGACCAATAACGGTATTTATAACAGGCGCAATACACACTATTGGTCGCAACAAAATCCACGTGTTAATAGACTATCCAGACATCAAGTTCGCTTTGGGTTTAATATTTGGTGTGGGATTTTTGGTAGCAAGATTATAGGCCCTATTTTCTATAATAATTCCTTAACTTCCGAGCGGTACCTTGACATCTTGAGGCACGATTTAGAAGATGCCTTAGATGATTTACCGCTAGGCGCTGTGCAAGGCTGCTGGTTCCAACAAGATGGTGCCCCAGCCCATAACTCCAGAGAAGTTCGCCAATATTTAACTGAACGGTTTGATGGAAAATACATTGGGACTTACAGTGAAACACCTTGGCCTCCAAGGTCCCCGGACTTAACTCCCTTGGACTTTTTCTTATGGGGCTACATAAAAAATGAGGTATTCAAAGAATGTTTTGACAACGAGGAACAATTACGTCAATCAGTACGAGCAGCGTTTAATAAAATTACTCCTGAAATGTTAAGTCGTGTTTTGGAGTCTACCGTGAGACGGGCGTACTTATGCCTAGAAAATGGAGGTCATTTATTCGAACATTTGTTATAGAATTTGTTTTTCATTAACTTGTTGGATTTAGTTGTTATGTTAAATGAACAGTTAGAGTTAGTAAATAAATAAACACATTAACTCGAACTTGTCAACCATTTTCTTTTGCCTTTCATCGTTCGGATCTCATGGCCTACTACAATAAAATACTAGAAATGTATTAAAAAGCCATTTTTCTGGATAAAAACATAAGTAACCGTATTGTATCGTACATCGTTGAATTCGCAATGAAAAGCACAACCTAATACTGTGTGTACTTTTTTCCGTCTCATAAGAAAAATCAAAGTTGATGGTGGTTCCATGGAATCGAAACGCTGTAATGAAAATTTGTTAACGTCAATTTGGAGAGATTAAAAAGTGCCAATGGAAAAGTGTTTTCCGTT